AGTCCAGAGTCACTCATTGGAAATGGGTGAGACTGGCTTAACAAGGGAACTGAAGACCTCAAAGTGCATTCCACGCAACCAAAGAATAAGTGCAGTTGCATCTTCAAGGTCCAGGCTGGACCATTTCCGGTAGGAAAAAGTGTTGCTTTTTAAGGTTGTTTTTCTTATGCATTAAGAATGGTAAAGCTAATGGAATGGGTGAGTAAGGTTTTCTTAGATTGTGCTTTTGACTTTGTAAAAGGTAAGAAGGCTTGTTTTGTGTTATAATTTGAAAGCATTTGACTCAAAAAAGTTTCCAATTTTGTATGGGAAGTTCACCTATTTTGTCTTTAGTCCTTAATCATTTTCTTTCTTTCATCTTACAGATTCATGATGCCAAAGAGTGGAAAAGGATTCCCTCCTGTGGAAACTGTTGCCAAAGGTTCTGAAAATTGTATTTCAGAGCCAGTTCAGCTAACCAATTGCTCAGCAGAATCAGAGAGCAACAAGTATGGAGATTTCAAAATTGATTTGCAGGGAGTTCCAGACCAAAGCTTAGTCTCTGAGGTTATTATTATTATTATTATTACTTTCTTCTTATGTTTGCTAGTGAAAAGACATATTACATCTTGGCAACTCAAAAATGTTGTTTCAGGTTGGCTGAGTTCATTATTATTTCCTCATCACCAGCAGGATGAGTACACAGAGGTTGAACAAGGAGAATCAAACTCCATGGCAACCCTGAATAAAATTCTTCGAGGATTGACAAAGGTGGAGAACAAGACTGAGAGGAGATGGAGGCTAACGGAAGTATTTAAAGAGTTGACCAAAGGAGAGATTCTAAGAAAAACTGCGAGGAACTTCTCTAACATTGTCAGAGCTTTGAAAGGTATTTTATATTTTATTGTTTTATTTGTTTGAGACTTTATTTTTTCTTTATTTTTATTTTTGTTAACCCATAAAGTGTGGCTTATATTGCCATCTTTTATTTTTTATGAAATTGGAAAAAATTGACTTAAATGGATCAGAACTACAGCTTTGTTTTTACTTTTAGCAGCAAACCAAAATATATTACTATTTCATCATCAATAATATCAGTATCATTATCATCATTATTATTATTTCAGTTACCATTATCATCACTGTTGCTGTAATGATTTTCACAATCCTTAGAATCTTTATCATCATTATCAACATTAATCTTTTATATTTTCTCTTTTTCTGTCCTTAATCTAGAGATGAAAAACTTAAAAGCTGCTGAAGAGGTCCTTGGTGAGCTTGGTGTCTCTCTGATGGTAGAGTGTTCTGGGCAGCGTTATGTGGCGGAGGCGGCATCAGTTGTCAGTTTGCTTCTTGAAAGTGATTTATTAGTCAGTGCTTATTTGGTAAGTATAATGATATCAACTGTATTTGTGTGTACATAATTCTACATATATGTTCAATGTATGTTTATATGCATACTGTAGTTTTGCAAAAAGCTATCAGCATGACAGCCTAAGTGCTGCTGGAGTTCATACAGAACCTAGGGGTGCAATATCATTGAAGGGTAGGTATTCTTGCTTGTGAGTTGCACCTTATTGTTTTACTGATGGGAGATATGTACTCCACTAGACACACATTTTGCATTAAACAGTTCATGAAGTACAGTATGTGATGGCATATGCACAAACATTTGCTATTCAGTTTTAAGCAATTTAGCTTCTTGTCTGTAGTACCACTTGAAATAGTTGAGCTGAGAAAGCAAAAGAGACCATACATTAATCAATACTCTTCAAGAATTCATATTCTTTGTCCTGTAAGACAACAGAACAAGTAATTTATTTTCCATCTCGCACAGCCTCTACAGAAGGAAACCCCTCCCTCAGAGCAAGCATTATCTGTGATGGCCCTGGAGGTGCTACACTCGACAGGACACTGGGACTCTTTCAAGAAGGTCTTGGATGGTAAAGCCTACTTGTGAGGTGTTTGAATTAGACCTTAGTTTATGAATTATCAAAATTCTTAGGATTTATAATGATTTTTTTCTGAATTTTAAGGATATTAGAAATTTAGCAAAATATACAGCTGTTAGTATCAAAGTTCTCATATTTCCAATGCACTGTTACAGTACATGTTAGCTTCAGAAGCTATGTTCATCTTTAACTTTCTTTGACAGATGTGTACTGGTCTGGAGGCTCAGAGGATGTCCAAACTAAACTGAAATGCTTATCCAGGATACTCCAGTGTCTACTGACATCAGTGCCAGTTGACTCCACCTCACACATTGCAAGGCTTCAGAACGCAGTCAAGATCCTGGCGTCACTTGTCAAGTATTTTCGGTATGATGTCCAAATAATAAGGAATGAATACACTAAGATAATGGGTAAGGTTAGGCTTTGTTTGTGTATATCTTCATTTGAATGTATTTTGTAATTTAAGCATATATAAAAAAGTGGAAAAATGTATATTGCATTTTTTCTTTGTTCAGTTTGACTTGGTTATAGTAAAGTATTTATGTTCCTGCTGTCATGGACTTTCCTAAATGTTTGGGAAATTGCTACAGAAGTACACCCCCTCAGTCTAAAACGAGTGAGAGAGTGAGAGTGAGTGAGAGCAAGAGTGAGTGAGAGCGAGAGTGTGTGAGAGAGTGAGAGTGCTTGTGTACTTGTGCGTGCATGTGCTTATGCGTGTGTGTGTGTGTATCAATATGTTTTGCTTTAATGTAATATTAGTGAATTTGCATAATTGGAATGAAGTGATATTGTTATTCTTATCGGTATTGTTGTTATTGTTTCTATTACATTTTTAACAATCTTTAACAGATTTAGTCACTTTCTTTATCAAGACTTGGAAGTGCGTAAACGAATCTGAAGTCCCTACTCTGATAATGGAAGTAAAAGCACTTGTTTTAGAAGCAAAGTCGTTTGGTATCAAAGTCCCTGAAGAAATTGAAGAATCAGCTGGATTTTGTGATATGGTGAGTTTTTTAATGATTTTAGTTTTGAGGGAATGCATACTAGCATGTCAGAGTGAGAGAGTGTCAGAGAGTGAGAGTGAGTTCAAATTCAGATTGAAAACACTTTATTCCATTGATTATAATGGGTATTCTATTTACATATATGGTGTTTACACTTTGTAATATAATGCTATGAACATAAATATTATACAGTGCTTGTGAAACAAAATTACAGAGCACTAATATCATAAGTGGTTAAAATATTGTGCTTGGCTTGATGTTTAACTGCTTGGTGTCACTGATATTTTAGTAAATGTTCTTTCACTTTTGTTTTAATTATCTTTCCATAGGAAGTATTTCAAATATCTTCTGGTAATTGGTTCCGAATGACCAGCCCTTGATTTTGTATATTGCTTGCCCCAGTTTCTGTATTTTGTCTTTTGATATATAAGCAGTTATTTTGCTATGTGTGGACACCCATATTTCTGTTGTACTTTCAGCCATTTTAGTTTATGTGGTGTCATATGGTCATATGGTCATTTCCTAGTGCTACTCTTGCTGCAAAATTCTGTAGTTTCTATGTTCTTTGTATTTTATTTGTGGAACCCCAGGTATTTAAGCAGTAATTAATTATACTAAGTGATAGTGTTTGTATAAGAGCAATACTTTTTTCTGTGGGTATTTTATTTTTGATGTGATTTAAGTATATCAGAGTGCCCATTACTTTTCTATAGATGTTGTCAATGTGTTTCTCAAATGTCATTTTTCTCTCTATGTATACTCCTAGATTTTTTACTGTTGCATTGGGTTTGATGTAGCAACCTTGGAATTCTATAACTCTATCTGTGGGTATTTCTGCAATGTTCTGACAGCTACCTATAAAAATACATTGTGTTTTCTGTGTATTCAGCTTCAGATTGTGCATGTTGAAGTATTTTGCTTCTGTTAGGGTCTGATTAGCTTTTCCTATCAACTCATTCTAATTGTTAACAGAGGTATTGTAAAGAAATTGAGTCATCATTAATGAACATAATGAATAAGATTGGGTCTAGAATGTAGCCTTATGGAACACAAAATGAAACTTATTGCTTTGATGATACTTTTTCATGAATTTTGACTGATTGAGTTCTCGCAGACAAGTAATTTTTTAACCAAAAGTTATTGATTCCTTGAGTTTTTAGTTTAAGAAGTATTTCATGGCTGAGGATATCAAAGGCCTTCAGTAGGTCACATGGAGTGAACAAATTTATCTCGTCTATGTTATAAATTTAATTTGGGACTTGGTAATGCTCTTTCAGTTGATAGTTTAGTCCAAAAGATATGTGGCGTGTTAGATATAAGGTTTCTTTTTCTTGAGAACTTTAGATATTACCGGGAGTATATTGATGGGTTGATAATTATTTATTTCGACTGTAACACCAGATTTGAAAATAGGTGTTATGATATCATGTTTCCAAAGTCATGGATAAATACAGGTGACTATGAATGTAATAATGATTACTGTCCAATAGTATGCAATTGCTGGGATACTATCGTTTATGAAATAATGTGCAAAAATGCATTAGCTCCTACAGAAATTGTTTTTCTTAGGTGTTTTATTAATGATGTAATTGCTTCTTTTCCTTCAGGTTGCAGTCTGAAAATGTTTGTTAAAGACCTTGTTTCATTTATGTTGTGTTGATGTGTGGAGGTGGTTGTCTGTTCGTGAGTGAGTCTACCGACTTCTGCAAAGAAGTTATTAAAGTGTTCTTTATTATTATTTACATTAGTTGTGGAATTTAGGGAAATGCCTGTCATTTGTTTCTTATTTGGCGCTAGTGTCTTAACCAGTTTCCATATTTCAGGAGAATCGTTTTTACATTCATTGAACTTACTTTTAAGATAATGTGTTTTTGCACAAAGGATGAGTGTTTTCACATTCCTCTTGTGTTTATATTCAGCCTGAAGGGTGGTGTCAGATCTGTTTATCTTGAGCATTTTGTGAGTAGTATTTCTATCATTTTTGGCTTTCTTAATGTTGTCATTTATCCAAGGGGTGGGAGGACCTTTTACTATTTTAGTTTTAATAGGAGCAGAGGCATTTATGCCTTTATTTATCACATCTGTTAAAATGTTAACTTGTCTGTCAACATTCTTTGTTGCAAAAATATCTAAGAGTGATGATTCATTGGCTATATGTTTTGCAGAGTAATTTAGGATCATAATGAGTAAGACCACGAGACGTTTTGGTGACTGGTTGTCACTTTGGTTTTTCTGTATTTAAGATCAAGGTTAAAAGCTCGTGATCAGCAATGGGGCATGGGATAGTGTCTCTGTGAAGAATAATATCGGATCTGTTTGTTGTTATGACAGCTAATATGGAAGAGGTACTTTCTGTAATCCATGTAGGCTTCTTTATGAGTTGTTTTTATTTATTTTTATTGATTATCCCAGTTAACATTGGATTTGATTTGTTTAGATCATTTAAATCACCTAGGATAAATAGGGGTTTCGTCTTTAATAACATTTAGCTGAAAATAGTTTCAAGATACTCAAAAGATTTTGCAGTAACATGTAGGTGTCCATAAATTATGTCGACGAGGAAGGAAGGAGTCATATCACATTATACAGTTACCCAGATGTTCTCTACTGCTGTATTATTTGCAGTTGTGGAGGAGGTCTTAATTGATTTATGGATATCTCTTGCATATATGCAGATACCACCTTCAAGGCCTGCATCACATCTATAAATATGAAAGTTTGGAATGCTGATGAAACTGCTTGATATTTATTGATGAAGCCAAGTTTTGGGATATCAGTATTTCTTTCCTTAATTAGAATGAGTGTGAGAGTGAGTGAGTGAGTAAGTACTTCCTCCTCCTCCTCCTCCTCCTTTCCTCTCCTCCCCCTTTCCTAATGATGATAGTATCCATATCACAAGCATTGAGAAACGAAACAAAAAATATTTTCCATGATAATGCTTGATTCAAGGAATGGGAAATCAGGTGAGGTCATGTTATGGCCTACAAATTGTGACTGACCACTTGTGGAACCATCTACATGTTAACAAAATTCTCAAAACAAAACTACAGTGAACAGTAGAAATCCTTATCAGCAGTGAGTTAAGAAGTACATCTCTAATATCAAAAAAGAGAAAAAATGCTCCATTGAATTCACTAAAATCTTTTGGATAAAGATTTTACTATATATTGTGAGACAGGGTCATGTAATAATTTTTTGTTTTGTCACCTCAACATTTTTTTTTTCCAACAGGAAAGACAAGAGACTGCCAGTTTGCATATGGATGAACATATACAAAAGACTATAAGATTACATCAAAATGCTAGCATCAAAGGTGAGTTTTTCAAGGGTCCGAAAAAAACACATCAGCTTCTGTGTCCAGTTAATAAAGGAACACTCTGGAGAACTTGCAAGCAGGATGTGGGGCTGCCTGGGGGAAATTGCAAACAGGAATCAGCAATACCTGGCGAAGGTTATATGGAAAGAAGAGACAGCCAAGGAAAATCATTCTTCCAGGGCAGAACAGTACCCATTGCAGGTAGCACTAGTATGTGGGACTTGTCAGAGGAGAGAGGAGCCAGCCTAACAGTATGCTTGCAAGGTAACAGTGATGCCAACATTGCAAGGAAGGTAGTCATGCATGGCCAAGCAAGTTCGGGAATAGAGAGTCGAAACCAGGCCCAAGCTCCCATTGTTAGCAATTCCATAATGGAGAGAGGTGATTCTTGGAATAGACAGGTGTATCCTTCAGTATCGCCAAACAAGCAAGCCCATAGAATTAGAATGGAAATGCAGAATCCATCAAGATTTGTAGGGAGGGCCAAGCATCAGTCAGCCAAAGGACTGACAACTTCACACAACTCAGTGGAATCAAATTGGGGAAGTGAGTTCTTCAGCAAGGGCTCCAAGAAGTTTAGGAAGGCTAAGTACAAGGGAAGCAAAAGACAGCTGATGAGACTAGCAAACAGTGATGATTGAGTGAGGAGGGGATAAAAGGAAGATAATTGTGATAAACAGAATAGAATTAGTGAAAGTAAAGGAGTATTTTTCTGGGGGGAAAAAAATCTTTGTACTAGATTGGAAAGAAATATATATGTATTTATATATTCTATTGGTAAGCATTAGAAAAATTATTACTTTTGCCCTTCTCCTTGGCCATTGCTTCCACCTTCTCCCTTCCCTCTTCTTTTCTGCTCTTTTGTCTCCTCTTCTCCCTCTCTCTTTTCCTCTTCCTCTCATCTTCTTTTCTTTTTCATAATTTACCTCTTTTTCTTCCTTTTCTCTTAATCTTTCCTCCTCCTCCTCCTCTTCCCCCTTTTGTCACCACCTCTTCAATTTCCTCCTCATCTTCCTCTATCTCCTCTTTTTCATCCATGTCTTTCTTCTTCCTCCTCCTCCAGCTCCTCTTTCTCTTTTTCCTTTTCTTCTTCCTCTCCCTCTTCTTTCTCTTTTTTCCTTTTCCTCTTCTTTCTTCTCCTTTCTCCTCCTCTTCATGCTCCTCCTACCCTTCTTCTCTTGTTTCTCCTCTTCCTTTTATTTGCTTTTTATTTTTTTGTAATGCAATAAAAGTTTATTTTGTTTCAAGTCATTTGCATTTAGATGACTTTATCTAAATAATTAATTTTTTTCATTGCCTTCTTTCTTCCGTGTATGTTTGTATATAAATGCTGATAATTTTTGCAGCGTACAGTAAGAAAATATATTGGATTTCTGACCTTTTTGCCTTCTTTTTTTAGGACCTGTTGCTGATATTGTTATTGTTAATAAGGGGAATTCAATTTATAATAGTGAACTTTACAGTGATGTTTTTAAAACTCGAGTAGACAGGTTCCTGTATCTTCTTTCATATTTTCAATCCTTGTAGTTTTGTCTTTTTAAGATGTATTAAAAGATTACTTTTTTTTTTTTTTTTTTTTCAGTCATTTGGATTTAAATGACTAATGATAAATTGTGAAGATTTTTTTCTGCAGGATATTTAAAATTCTTAATGTGAATTTGAACCCGGCTTTTATGCCTAATAATGTACATGCTGATTGTTTTTGTAGCCTAAAACAAGAATATTATATTGTTTTTGCATACGGTTTTATTATTTTCCAACTTGCATTTACATTGTTGTAGTTTCTTATTTGTCAATTATTATTATTATTATGGGCAATTCCACAGCAGGAGGGACAGGGGAAGAAATAGAAATCACTATTTTATTCTATATATGGTGGGAATTTATTCACAAGACCCCCCAGCTTCCCAGAAAGAAATTCTGAATCAAGCTGTATGTCAAGCTAAGAATATTTCCTCTTGGCATGAGAATGCCATTGGCATAAGCTAGCCTATACCACAGTATCAAGTGCTAAGTGGTATTTCTCAAATAATAAGGGCAACTGAAATAACTTCCAACCACCCTGAATGTAGCATCCATCACTGCGGAATTGCCCTTATCTATATTAGGAGAAATCACTTCAAAGTTCATGAATTCTGCTTTATTTTAATGCTTCATAAAAATGTCCAACTTAGCTATACATTTTATAACCCAAGTACACAGAGTTGATTGTCCATCACACATGACTATTGGTGTAATTTAATAAAAAACTAACATTGCTCAGGAAAGAAAATAAGACATATCTAAATATATATATTCAGTATAGACTACTATATTTTTATATGTTATATTTGGTATAGAGTTACTGTATTTTGTCTGACTTAGATCTAGACAAGGCACTTCATGCAAGGCACTAAATATCACAGGGTATATATTGTAGTCGAGCCTTTATATCTATCTATCTATAATTTTACCTTTTACATATAAAATACTTTTAACTTTTATGCTCAACATATCACAATTACATCTTTATGATTGCTTATCTATTACATGGTCTATCATGGTTTTATAAGGCATTGATATAACTTATATATTTCTTTGCTTGTATGTGCATATAAAAAAAAATGTACAGTCAACTTATCCTCTAATTATGTAAAGGGACAAAATAACGTTTAAAGGGAAGGGAAAATGTTTTAATTAAATTAATAAATAGGACTTGTACTGCTGTATCTCCATTTAAGGGGAGAACGTCAGGAGTTGTCATGAGTGTATATGTGTGCATGTTTGTAAGTGGGTGCCTGCGTGGAGCTGCTTCAACATACATATATGTGTATGCTTGCATTTCTGTCACCATGTCAAGAATAGTTTGAGGTCTTCATAATGCAGTCTAGCAAATACCTTTTGCTTCTCATCATAAGCATACTAATTCCTGCAAACAGTTTCTGTGTAGATGATGGTTTCTCCTTTATGAATCATCTAATGCAGCATGAAAGGAAATAGCAGTGATCGATTATTATATGCTCTTTTCTTATATTTAGAATAAAGAGTTGGAATAATTACTAAAACTTTTTTACATACAAAGAAAAAGTGTAAGTTTTTGTAAGTAATCTGCATACCAGTTTTCCACCCATCTTCATCTCAATGTACCTATGAATCTATTTTTCTATCAGCCTATCTATCTGTCTGTTTATCTCTGTCTGCCTATCTGTACATATATTTATGTTTATCTGTTTGTTTCTCTTTTGTTCATTTATCAATCTCTCTCTCTATGTATCTAATACTGTCTCAAATATTTGTGTATCTGCATGTCTGTCTGCATTCATTCATTCTTCATTCATTCATTCATTCATTCATCTCATCATTCTCTCTCTCTCTCTCTCTCTCTCTCTCTCTCTCTCTCTCTCTCTCTCTCTCTCTCTCTCTCTCTCTCTCTCTCTCTCTCTCTCTCTCTCTCTCTCTCTCTCTCTCTCTCTCTCTCTCTCTCTCTCTCTCTCTCTCATCTCTCATCTCTCTCTCTCTCTCTCTCATCTCTCTCTCTCTCTCTCATCTCTCTCTCTCTCTCTCTCTCTCTCTCATCTCTCTCTCTCTCTCTCTCTCTCATCTCTCTCTCTCTCTCTCTCTCTCTCTCTCTCTCTCTCTCTCATCTCTCTCTCTCTCTCTCTCTCTTCTCCTCTCCTCTCTCTCTCTCTCTCTCTCTCTCTCTCTCTCTCTCTCTCTCTCTCTCTCTCTCTCTCTTCTCTCTTCTCTCTCTCTCTTCTCTCTCTCATCTCTCTCTCTCGTCTCTCTCTCTCTCTCTCTCTCTCTCTCTCTCTCTCATTCTCTCTCTCTCTCTCCTCTCATCTCTCATCTCTCTCTCTCTCTCTCTCTCTCTCTCTCTTCTCTCATTCTCTCTCTTCTCTCTCTCTCTTCTCTCTCTCTCTCTCTCTCTCATTCTCTCTCTCTCTCTCTCTCATCTCTCTCTCTCTCTCTCTCTCATCTCTCTTCTCTCTCTCTCATTCTCTCTCTCTCTCCTCTCTCATCTCTCTCTCTCTCTCTCTCTCTCTCTCTCTTCTTCTCTCTCTCATTCTCTCTCCTCTCTCTCTCTCTCTCTCTCTCTCATTCTCTCTCTCTCTCTCTCTCTCTCTCTCTCTCTCTCTCCTCATTCTCTCTCCCCACTCCTCCTCTCTCTCTCTTCTCTCTCCTCTCTCTCCTCTCTCTCCCCCCTCATCTCTCTCTCTCTCTCTCTCTCCCACCCCC